CCATGAAACAGGCAGGATTATCACTACTTGATCTACTTGGTATGGTCTCCTAAAAAGCTTAAGAAGGAACAGAAGCAAAGGTTTAACCCAGGCTATGCTGATCTGGATTTTCTGGCATAAGGTCTGGTCATAGGTATATCTGAAGGTCCTTTGGAGAATCTAATGGGCAATCAGAGCTCATGAAAAATGAATTCCAGTTCAGGGCCTGGAACAAGATACTTCCCAGGGAGTTCTTTCAGAGTGTGAAATCCAGGGTTCTCACTGATACCTTCAAATCTACATGCTCAACAACACCTTGGATCACCCCTAGGCACACTAAAGTTTGATGTAAGTGAGAGGAAGGAAGTTAGAATTTGTCCTTTGCTTCCACACCACTATTCACTCACCCTCTAACTCTTTTTAAAGAGGGAAAGATACACACTGGTGTGGGACACATTCACTGAAAGTTCATGGCCACTGAAGGCAGAAACCATGTGTCTAAATTTTCACAAGGCATGAGAAATGTCCGTGTTTTGATGTATTTATTATTGTTACATATGAGGGAGAGTAACTCAGACTACTTGTCCTTGTAGAACGTTGTTGATTCTAAATGATGAAATGACCAGAACTCTATCATCCATCTGATGTTGGTGAAGGTAACAAAACCCCAGGTCTCTATAGAATGCTCCAGGGCCATATTCACCTTCAGTCAGAGTATTTGTCAGTGCCTTGGCTGAGGGTTGGCAAGGCATCTTTACCAGCAATTGGAAGAGTAGAGAAAATATTTAGTTATTAGGACTTAGCAGACACCAAAGACAACATAATAAAGCAAAAGTTTCAAGAGGATAAATTATAGAGGAAATGTGAGAGGGGAAATAACAGCAGAGGCAGTTGGCTTAGGGGCTCTGGGATTTTCATTGGAGTCTAATTGCTTTTGTTTGTAGAAAGTGGCTGCCAAAAATGCTGCTGGATACCTCAGGCTGTGTCTGCTGTGGTGACAGCAATGGAGTGATTATTCTTACCCATGTTGGACTCTGCTTACCACATCCAATGCTGCTTCTGATGATGGTGCTCGTTCTTGGTTGGCACACTCTGAGAATGCGCTAATGTTCTGGAACAAATTGATAGTGTCTCCCTGATGAATGACAGAGATTTGCATGCACATCCCATCTCCATTACAAAGATGAAGAGTCAGAGGGTCCCAGGCTACATAGATTGCCTGAGATTTCATAGCTGGTGTTAAATAAAAATTACAGGAAGCCACTGTTTTGGCTTGAGCTCTAGCACTAAGCCTCAATACACCCCACTGAAAAATCAAAATGGAACCACTCCTGCTGAAGTTCTATGTCATTGAATCAAGACTAGGCTGTTTATCAGGATCAGAGAGGTAAAAGGCAACTATGCCCAACTGGCTACTTTCCACTGGCATGGTAATATGACTTCAGTCAGACTCAGGAAAAGGCAACTGAAATTGAGCAATCAGTTATTGGTGACTGTTCAACCTCCCTGTTCCCTCTTATGAGGAAAGTCACTTTGAGATGACCCATCTGCTTTTCGTTGCCTTTTTCTGTCTATGAAGCCAACCTCATTTGCTTGGCTCACTGGAAGACATAATCCATCTTATGGAGTGAAGAGTTGCCCAATCTGAGACTTAAAAAGAAAGCCAATTAAGATTTGAAATTGTAATTCTGTCCTTTGACACAGGCAGGAAGCAGAGCTCGGAGCTCTAACCCAACAGAATTCTAATAAGGAGTCTAGAGCCTTCCTACTCCAACCCCTCCCTGTCTTCTTTGTATCCCTATCCGCTCTTGTTTGTTTGTCTGAGTCAGGGTCTCACTCTGTAGCCCAGCCTGGTCTGGTACTCATAGTTCTGCCTTCCCATCCTGAGTGACAGTTACTGAGTGGGACTGCAGGTGTTAGTCCTTTCGTCTAACGAAAGCAATCTGATTTAGGATATTTACCTGTTTCCATTAAGTTCCCAATTTACTTACTCAAAAGGTGGGCTCATCTTCTGATCAAAATATATCTCTCAGAACTAGCTTTTCACCTTGCTGTGGAGGCTGTGAGTAGGAAGTTCACACATCACCCTTCCTTTCCTCCTCATTACCAGAGCCTTGTTCAGCCTTTGAGACTCAGCTCTGATGCCTCTTGTGGAGCTGAATACCGCTGTCAGCACAGCCTCTTCTAGATCTCTGGCCATGTTCCTTCAGTCTCGCACTTCATTTATCCATCCCCCTCTCCCGGCTCAGATGCAAATATCTATAGGATAATCTACAACCTGTCAAGCATTAGTCTAAGGGTTCGGAAATTACCATGAGAAAAACTATAAATATCTGACCTTCTGAAACAGAATGCTAAAGGGAGACAGACTAAAGCACCAAAACAAATCTATAAAATCGGATAATCATCGTAAGTGCCATAAAGAAAAATAAAACAAGGAAATTGATTCCCTGGGATGCTGGTCAAACACTGTCCTTTCAAACAGTATCAGCAAAGACCTGACATGATAATGACTGACAAAGAACTAGAGAGGAATGAGTAGTATTGGGGGTAACTATCATAGGCAACACCCCTGGGGATATGAAAACTTCTTACTAAGTCTCACTTTTTATAGTTTCTACCAGTTTCCAATAGTGTTAATCTGTGGTCAAGCATTTAACATTCAAGGAACATTTGAGGGGAACACTCCAGATCCAAATTATAGAAATGGTGTTGATAGTACTTTCTGATACATTTGTTCTATGGCCACAGACAAACTTGAATCCCAGATACTCAATGGGAGATGGAAGTAGTGGAAGATGTTAGAAGTGTATTTGAGGACTGAGCAAATTATATAGATGTACATTTCAATGTATATAACATGCATTGCCTATATAAACTATGTGATACATTTAATAATTCCTTATATATTGTGCTATACCCCTCCCTTCATCATTACTGATAATTATTAGGTCAATTGTATTGTGAGGATGAATGAATAGAGCAGATGTTTTCAGAAGGAGCCCTGTCCTACTCTCTATACCATATGCATTTACTGGCTCCTCAGCATTCTTGGTTGAACATTTGAAGAACTGAGAAAAGCTTTTGTGTAATTTCTTAGTGAAAGTGATTCTACAACATGGTAATCTGATCATGTTGACACAACAGCCTGATCTGTTCACATGTGATTTTATAAACTCTGTTTCCCCATTTGGAAGGGTGAAAGCACTGCAATATTATTAAAAACAAACAAACAAACAAACATGATATTGCCACCCTGATGTTGGTGCTAGTGGTAGCATAAGCCATGGTCCTGAGAGCTGCCATGTTGAACAGTCATTTGCCAAGCAGGTTTGAGATACATGGGAGGAATGTTCTCTCTTCATCCTTACAATCTTATGAAGTAGGTTATATCACAGTCACTTTCTAACTGAGAACATAAGGATGTTTATATAACCTACCAGAGGACATGAAGTAGGAAGGGGAGCTAGCTTCTATACAAGGTTTGACTACACAACTTGAGAAAAAAATATAAATAGTCCAAATGCATTTCTGCTTTGATTTGCAATTTCTCCATGGTCTATTAGTTTGAGGGTGTTGAAGGGATAGGAGAAATTGGGAAAGGCAATTTATTTTCTGCAGTCTGATACTAAAATGAAAATTTGGAGTCTCTGCAAAAGCATTGCTTGCAAGGCACTACAGGAAGACCTTAATAGAGACCTAAGGTAGGAAGAATATGAGGGTTTTATTGTGCATTGTAGAATTGAGTGACAGCTATATCCACCAGGGAATATTTATTTAATATGTCTATCATGTATGTATGTATGTATGCATGTATCTATCTATCTATCTATCTATCTATCTATCTATCTATCTATCTATCTATCTTTCTATCTATCTATCTATCTATCTATCTATCAATCTAATTTTTCTATCATATATCTAATCTCTCCATCCATCCAATCTATTTTGTGTATATTTGTGTGACCCCCCTCCGAATGTGTTTGTGTTTTCACCTTGAGTATTATTCCTGTTTTCTGAGGTAGGGTCTGATGGTCTGGAGGGCACTTATCAGGCTTGTTTGGCTTTTAGGATGCATGATGCATCTGCCAGTCCCTGTCTCTCCACTGCTGGGATTATAAGTACACACCACTGAGTCTGGCTTTTTATTAACATTGGTTCTGGGGGATCAAATTTGGGTCTTCATGCTTGGGTGGCAAGCACTTTATCATTTGAGCTATCTCAACCTCCACTATCCAGGGGACATTTGAGTACACATTGGATTTGCAGGACTACTCAAAATGATAAGTACCAAAGTCAGCCTGCACAAGGAGATCATGGTATGTTCTTGGCATGCATGCTGTTGTGTGTTATTCCTTGAGGGGGTTTTCTTCATTTTTTTTTCAATTTTTTCTCTAGAGATTATGGAATCCCAAGTCTTAATCTATCTTCAACAAACCTCACCACCATATTTGTTTGCAAAACAAATCCATTGCCTCAGTTGTCTGTTTCTGTGCCCTAGGTCCTTCCGGTTCAGTTTTGTAGAAATGTTTATCTTTTTTAATTAATTTTGCACAGAGTACTGGTTCTATAAGCAAATATTTCTTTTTCTTATCTTCCTTGTTATTTGATTTTGATAGACAACTTGCTGAGGTAACATATGAGAATTTTTGTTTTGTTTGTTTTTGGTTTTTCAAGATAGAGTTTCTCTGTGTAGCCCTGGCTGTCCCAGAACTCTCTTTGTAGATGAGGCTAGCTTCGAACTTACAGAGCTCTTCCTGACTCTGCCTCCTAAGCCCTGGGACTGAAGGTGTGCACCACCACTGCGCAACACATAGGAGAGTTTTTAAGGATTGAGCTTCAGTTATACAGAGAAAAAATGCTTGGTTTTTGTGATTCTCCCTTCCCAGGAGAGCCTCTCGGTTTTGCTGAGCATTTCAGAGACAATGCACTTGGAAGCTTAGGACTTGACTGTAGCTCAGGCTTTCAAACAAACTGTAAACAAGTGGGAGGGGCAACTAAAGTACTTACTACAGAAAATAGAAAAGTTAACCAAAGTATTTTATTGATACATTCTTAGACAATACCACAGAACTGGAAGAGAATGGAAAGGAAATTTTTTTCAGCAAGGGATTTTTTTCCACTAAATTGACACATAAGCAGCAAGATTAACGAAAGTACTTATTACAAACAGTAAAAAACATACATGCTTCTTTTTTAAAGTCCTTATCACATTGGTCAGTCATAGGGGGCATGAACAAAACCTCAAGACATGAAAAATCCATATTCTTTCCTTCAGATAGCTTAATAATCATTAAAATTATTGCAAAATATCCATATACCTAAGTAAATTAACAAAAGAGAACACAAATACAAATATTAAACATAAATATAAACGTGTACTGTAAAATACATTACTGGCATGCATACCAAAGATCAAGACCTCTATTCCATTTAGCCAATGCTTTTCTTTCACATCACATCACCTCTTGTGTACCAAAGATAGGTGGAGCATATCTTCTCAGCACAGTTTTTGGTCTTTAAATATCTTTTTGTGTGTGTCCTTAAAAAAAATAATGTGGCTTTCTATGATACTATAATCATAACCACACAGTCATTTACAGATGTGTGTGTGGGGTTGTGTTCTTTTATGTCTGCCGAGATTTATTTTTCTTTAAATTTAGTTGTTTTAAATTTTTCCCAAAGATTCCACCGTCTGAGAGGATAGGGTTCTATGAAAACAGGGCATTCAAAAACAAACAGTGAACCAAGGTACAACATTGGGTGGCAAAGTGCAAATGTCCTCACAAACTGTACAGAAAATTTCAAAACCTTGCAGCCTGGAAGTACATACGTAGAAAGACAAATCAGCCCCAAAAAAACAGTCCTGAGGCTCTCAACAGTTCATCCAAAAGAGCCGGGTGGGACTTGAGTCTTACGTCTCCCTTTGTGTAGGGAGTCCAAAATTGCAGCCAAGATGGCAGTGCTGATGCCAATGACTTCTTAAGCCAAGATAAAGTAAAGGTGTCTCATAAAGCAGCTGTTTAGGATGTGTGGATCCTCTAACACTGGTCTCCCAGCTGGGGAAGCTCCTCCAGAGATGGGAAGCAGGCAGGACCAAAAGAGTCCTATGCCAGATTAGGTGACGGAATAACTGAGGGTCTTCCTCCTCCGTGGTTCCATGGGATGGAACAGGTTAGATAACCAGGTTATTATAACTGACATACTTCTTTTTTGCAGCGGGGCCTGGAGGAAAAGAAAGAGGGTAAAGTCAATTGTGACAATGACCCAGCATTCAAAGGTAGAAAGAGCTTGGATGGTTTCCAGTACCAAGTCAAGATAGAATGAGATATCTTTGAGGAATACACACATACTTTGGCATTTTGGCATTTATCTATAATACCACTAAGATTGGCCTGGCAGTGATAAACAATTCACCTGGATTCATTTCTTTGACGTGCCTCCAACTTCTGACTTTTTGGACCTATAAGGTCGTTGGATTAATTTATCTTTGGTTGCCACACTTTCTAATTAGTCAGCCTAAAGCTCCAAGGGTCATCTGATGCTGTAGAGATTTTCATCATGTGATCATCTCCTGAATCTTTTCATAAAGAACACCTACTGCTAGGAAGGGGTGTCTTGGGTCACTGGAATTCATTTAGGTTGGCTAGCAGAGTGCACCCACTAGTTAGTATTCACAATTATCAAGTTCGTCTCTTGCCCAGTCTTATCAGCGATGTGTAAATCATTTTCATGACAATTTCCATTGAGGTTAAAAGCACACCTGGAAGTGTGAACAGTCACACTCTTCATTTGTTTTCCTCCCATGCAGAACAACTATGTTTCATCCAGTGACCTGGGACTCTTTTCTTTACTTATGTATCAAGTAAATACACACCCATTGGTTCTCCCAAGGCAGGCACAGGGCTACACACTTTCTTTCCTGAGCCAAAGGTAGTTCTTTCCCTGTGCTCATGATGGAAACAAACTCCAAGGTCTCATAATATACCTACTTTAGGTTCCAGTTCTCTGGTCTATATAACACCACGTCTGTGAAGTAATGGGTGCTTGGCTCATTCAATCTTAGTCATATTGTATCAGTTTCTATTAGATATAGACTCTGTCATGTATAATTGACAATGGCTTATGTGTTTATTCTTCTTAGATTCTCAATAGAGCTGTTTATGGAACACAGCACAGTAGCAAGAAATTTCCCAGAACTCTAAAGTAGGGACCTGTGGGACTTTTGAGGCTCAAGCAGCTGCATTAGTGTGCTAAAAGCTTGTAACTGGCCTTGAGATTTGCTGTATTCTAAGTGCATATACAAACATCATTTTTTTCAAGATAATTTCACAGCCTAAAAACTTTAATCTCATTTTGTGGAGAAATTCAGATATACTCCTTAATATTTCTGATTGGAAGACGCATTTCTCTGTTATAGCACATTGTGTTCGATAGAGAAAATAGAATTATATGAAAGTGAGAGTCTCCTGAAAACTCTAATCATGATGCATTAGATCCCATGCTAGTCATCTAATGAGGACTTAGCCTCAGTAGATCCCAACACCCCCCCACCCCCTGCCTCCAACATTTCCATGGCCCTTACCTCATCAATTGTCTTCAACAACATTTTTGGGGATATAAGGAAGAAAAATAACTTACTTTGTGGTGATATTGTGTTCCCCAATATATTATGCACCCTAATAAATTTATCTGGGGTTGGAGAACAGAACAGCCACTAGACAGACAAAGAGGCCAGAAAATGGTTGCACTCACACCTTTAATCCTAGCCTTCTGGAGGCAAAGATCCATCTGGATCTCTGTGAGTTCAAAGCCACACTGGAAACAGCCAGGCATGGTGACTCACGCCTTTAATCCCAAGAATTGATGGCAGAAAGGTATATAAGGCATGAAAACCAGGAACTAGAGGCTGGTTAAGCTTTTAGGCTTTGAGCAGCACAGTTCAGCTGAGATTCATTCTGGATGAGGACTCAGAAGCTTCCAGTCAGAGGAAACAGGATCAGCTGAGGAACTGGCAAAGTGAGGTGGCTGTGGCTTGTTCTGCTTCTCTGATCTTCCAGCATTCACCCCAATACCTGGCTTCAGGTTTGTTTTTATTACAACCATTTAAGATTCATGCTACTTGATAGGTTTTTTTTTTTTTTTTTGAGATGGGATCTCTTGCATTCTAGGTTACCCCTAAACTCCCTATGTGACCAAGGATGACCTTGAACTTCTGATCATCTTGCCTGCACGTCCCAAGTGCTGAGATTAGAGTATATACCACCACATCCTTCACTGCAAGGCTGCTACCAACTGAGCTATATCTCCAGCCCCCACTGAGGGAATCTTTCTAAAGATGCTTCCTGACTCCAAACCTTATTTGCAATGTCATAGCCAGTCAACCTCAGCTGACACAGACAAGTCATTGTGACAGTGTGCCTTGTCAAATGCCAAGGAGCTAATTATCCTCTAGACCAAAGGGGAAGAAAACAAACAAAAGCCCCAGAAGCCTGAGCTGGCCTAAATATTGGAGACGCCTCTATTGTGTGGTTAATTAAGACTGGATTCTGTGTAAGCAGAATTTTCTAGTGGAAAAAGAATAATTAAATGTCCTCAAATAGGTTACTATATAATACCAGTCAGTAAAGAATTTTTACTAAAAGAATAGTGGCTGAGAAAGATATTGTTCCTGTGATGTAGAGAACACTGGTTTGGATTCAATTAAAATCAAAATCTTGCTGCTTTTAAAAAACATTAGTTGTTTGGGGCTATGAGGTAATTCAGCAGGGAAAGATGCTCGCCACTAAGCCTCCCATGCAACCTACATGGTGAGAGAAGAAGGCTGACTCTCACAAGTTGTTCTGTGACCCCCACACATGTGCCTCAGGCCCACATGTAAACATACACACAATTAAATACATATTAAAAAAATGGAAATAGGGGCTAGGAGGATTACTCAACTGATAGAGTATTTGCTTAGCATGTACAAAGCTGTGAGTTCTACTCTAAACACAGCATAAACAAAGGCATTGTGTGGCATGCCTGTCTCCCTAGCACTTAGCAGGTGAAGCAGAAATTTTGGGAGTTCAAGTTCATTCTCAGTCCCACAGCAAGTTTGAGGCCAGCCTGGGCTAGGTGAGACCCTGCGTTAACAACAAAAAAGCAATGGAACAAACAAAAATTAGGAAAGTGTGCTTTGCAGAACACGGTAGGACTCACTAAAGCCTTGTGGGAATTGTCTTCTTGTGTTTTCAGGAAGCCAGAGATGTAATTTGTATTCCACATTACAGATGAGAGGGACACAGGGCTCACAGGGACCAGCAGTCTAGCACCATGAGAAGACCCTGCTTCCTGGGACTCACCTGCCTGGGTTCTGACTTTGTTCCATCACTTACATTGAGAGGAGCCTAATCCTCTGCCATGAGGCTACACTTTTTAGAGGCTTAATAAAATGAGGACAGTAATTCAGATCCCATGGACTGTTGATAGCATGGATGTCAGAATTATGCCAGTCTCTCACTGGGGAATATAACACAGAAATGTATTTTTAGGTTATAAATTTCTCTACAAAGGATAAGCCTCAATATATGCTTTCTTTGCAGAATTGCTTTGGAGCATTGCAGCAAGGTTATAATGAAGTTTATGCAGTCCCTAGAACGGCAATTTCTGTCCTTGATCACAGCAAAGTCCAATGTATTATAGTGTTTATTTTTAAACCATCTTGGCCTCACGAGTAAATAAAAGAAGTGCCCAAAGGGCTGATAATTCTATTTATTAGAATAGCAATGTAGTTTATGGTCCAGGAAAGAGAATTGCCTAGCTCAAAATAGTTGTCCAGAAAATGGTTGCTAAAGAGATCTGCTTTTTATTTTGAAAAGGCTAGGAATTTCTTTTCCTTTGAAGCTAGAGGTTTTTGGTTTGTTTATTTGTTTGTTTTTAAGAATGGGAACAGAATGAAATTTTAAAAAATGATTTCTTAATTTTATGAGTATGAGTGTTTTGCATGCATGTATGTACATGTATCATGTGTGTTCCTGGTGCCTAAGGAGTTCAGCAGAGGCTGTCAGATGCCCTGGAACTGGAGTTAGGAATGGTTATGAGACAAGATGTAGGTGCTGGGTACTCAACCTGGGGTCTCTGCAAGAACAGTGAGGGCTTTTTAACCACTGGGAAATCTACCCAGCCCTAGAAATTACAAGAATAAATTGTATTGTTCCTATTAAAATTTTTAGAGCTATCCTTATCAGTTGTTCTCAAACCTAGGTATTTCAAAGAGCTGAAGTTTTCAATGAGAAAGTATTAAGGACATTGACTTCTAAAATACATTATTAATGCACATTTTCAATTTAAGGAAGATTAGACATCATCCAACTCATTCTTATTTTGTTAAAACTCTCATTTTGGCATTAACCTTAGTGGGCTAATTTCATTTTAATTTTAATATAATTTTCTCCCGGATTTGCTTTCTCATTACACTCATTTATGTGAGGATGGAAGGCCTGAGCCATGGCATACTTGTGGAGGTCAGAGGACAGCTAGAGGGAGTTGGTTTCTCCTTGTGCCAGGTGGGACCCAGGGATGGAACTGGGTCAGGCTTGGTTACAAGCACCTTCACCCTGGAGCCACCTCGACGCCCACTGTCTGAACTTTTGCTTCACAAAAATTTTATTTCTTATGAACTAGAGTAAAGAAACTATGAAGCAATGTAAAAACAAAACATGGAAAAGAAAAAGAATCTTATAAATACCATAATTGAGACAGCTGAATAAATGAAAACAAAGCAGGACTCTTCCCTTTATCCCATTTTTAGGTTTTCTAATTTTATAAGTAACACATTTTATGTTTTATTAGATAAATACCGTGTGTTTTCAGTTTTTAAAAATATGTTTATGTAAATTTATATACGTAGAAGTGCACATATGGAGTGCTGCAAACATTGCAAAAACTAAACAAAATTGTATCACATCCCTAAATATAATACACATAAAAGTCATGGCATCCTATCCACAGACAGGAGAGGAACATCTAACCATCCCCTTCTCACCCTCACAAACAATTCTTCCTTTCTCTCACTTACCAGAGCTACTGTCCTGAAGTTGGTATGGCTCATGCCACTCCCACATGCATAGTTACCAATAAAGTTTAGACAGTATTACTTCATGTGTTTAAAAGACACAGAATGGTGTTACTCCATGCATATTCAATTACAACCTTTAATTTCTTTTTAAAAAAAATGTGTATGC